AGAACCAATTCTGGAAGAAGTCAATCTCTAACTGTGTTAGTAGGCTGTCAACCCAATATATTCAGATATAACTGTCTATGAGCCTGGCTCCCAGCAGACACCTCAGAAGATACTTAGAGGGGGGACAGGTAAGGAGCAAGCAAAAAGAGACTGGTGACTCTGCCCTACTCTAGGGCAAGAAGAAAAATATGGCCACTGTTTCTTGGGGTTGTGCTTAGTCAGGATGTCTGGCCTATAACCCACTGTAGGCTCTTTCCTATTTTGTAAGTATTTTAAAGCCCTGGCTGGTGTGGTCAGTTGCTTGGAGCATAATCCCTACACTGAAAAGCAGCGGGTTCAATTCCTAGTTAAGGCACATTTCGAAGGCAACTGATTGATGTTTCTCTCTAGCATCAATGTTTCTCCTCCCCCTCAAATCAATAAAAAAATAAAACGTTTAGACAAGGGAAGCACAAGGGTGTCCTTGATTAGCTCTGTTTACTTTTTTTGTGGCTCTTCCAGTCTCCACACAAACAGCACATTCCACCTGCCCCACTTGAAGGGATCCAAGCTCGTTCTGGCCAGCTTAGCAGGAAGGGAAGCCTGCACACTGTCCGGTAGACAGAACAATGCATGGCTTGTTTATCTGACAGAAGACGGGAAATCTGCTTGATCACCATGGAGGGATACAGAGCTATAAAGGCCCACTCACTCCTCACTGTTAGCTGAAGGAACTTGAAGCCTGATGATCTAGAGATCCTTACTACAGACCCAACCAAGGGGAAATATATATGCAAATGTGCATGTCTGTATGTGCATATGTCTTTGTGCATGTATGTTTATGTATTTGTATGCATGTGTGTGTATATGTGTATATATGTATCTCTGCATATGTATAACTGTGTTTATGTATGTATAATTTTAAAGAGAACTTTTAGGACATTAGCTTTCTTTTCAGTCTGGAAAAGTTATAATCTGGGTCATCTCAGATATGAGTACTTTATGCAGACAGGGCTTTGTTACCCAGCTCTGCCTTCCCACCTTTCCTACCTCTCCACTCAATCCTTTGAATAACCAGGTGAAGATCTTTCATATAAATCTACTGGGTCACCATCTCTACCTTCCACCTCAGGATTCATCCCTAACCAAAAGAAAGCTAGGGTAATGAATAGGAAATGAAGGGAATGTTGGGATGGAAAAAGGGCTCCCCCAAATGCAGTGGTGTGTATGTCAGGGCGTGCCTTTTGGCTTTCTAAATAGAGAGTGATAACTTCATCTGTTCAGGACTTTTGCATCTAACCTTCTGTTTTCATGACTCCATTTTCACATTGGAATCTTTAAAACATGGGGGCATGTCTTTTTCTAAAGAAGGTTGGAAAGAGGCAACCATATGAATGATGTGGGAGAGTTTTTCAAATATTATGGGCTAGAAAATGTTTAGGAGTTTAGAAAAAAAATGATACATGGAATTCTCTTTCAGAATGGGCTGGGGAGTATATTCTAAGTTTTCTATGCATAGTCTGATAAAACATACCCATCATAGACTATATCTTATCAGTTATCCCAAAGGCAAGGAGGTGAATTGTGCACATTTCGTAGCTTCTAGGAGTAAGGGGGGCAAGTCAAGAACTGAATAATTGAAGATAGTTTTAGTCTCTTTCCTGTATATACAAAAGCTAAGAGGGCTGACTGAGACTTCGGAGGAGCACACGGGGAAAATGACAGCAGGTTCATAGAGAATCATCCATAGAGTCAGATTTTGCTGTGATGCCCAATTTCCTACACTAATATCAACAGTGATAAAGAAGATAATAGGATGTTTGCCCTCCAGCTCTGGGTTCTAGCAGACATATCTGTAGCATCCCTTGGGAAGAAGGTTATGAGAATTGTAGATTTTTCTTCTCCCTTTAAGCCAAATAGCACTAATCTCACACTCATTATTGGAGATACCACTTTTCAGGGAAAAGATAGAATCCACAAAGGTTTTGTGGTCAAGTCTAAAAGCCCTTGGAATTACTTCTGGCCATCTGCACTACTAAAGCCACAAAGCTGTAAGACAATAGCTAACAATAGCCAGGATCCCAATAGAACCAAGACTACCTACTCATTCTGCCTTGAACAAACATGACGATGAAGAAGGGCCAATGCTCAGAGCTAGAGCACAGCCAGCAAGGTGGACAAGTAATAGGAGGTGAGATTGCGGAAGTGCCAAGGCCAGATAATGGAGTTTTTCAAAGTCAAGGAAAGAAGTTTACATTTTATTCTCAGTATAGTTAGTAGCTACTAGAGGTTGTTAAGCAGGGCACTACCACAATCTAAGTTTCATGAAGCTTTCACTTGGTTGATGGATTTAAATAGAAGAGTAGAATATGGGGAACCATTTTAAAAAGTTCTTATAGATAAGAGATAATGGTGGTTTGTTAAAGGGAAGAAGCAGTAGGCGTAAATAAAAGAAATTTGATTAGGTATCTTGAAGAGGTAAAACTGACAGTATTTTTTTAATGGGTTCTATGTGGAGAATGAGGGAAAAGAAGAAACCATGATATCTGGGTCATCTGGCATTTGTTCCTTCTTAGCACAGAATTCATTCCTGAAACTGAGTCATTAGTAGTTCTTAAAAAAAAGTTGTCAATTTTCATTTTATTCTAGCATTTATAAAGCTTTTATTTTGTTTATTCTTTTATTCTAGCATTTATAAAGCTTCTATCTACATTTAAGGTGCTTGAAGAGTTACTATGAAACACACCAAAACCAAGAAAATATAATCCTGGTGCTCAAGGTATTTACAGTGTGATAAGGGGTAAATAGAAATACCTATGTAACCATTAAACAGGACAGAATGTCATGTGATAAAGGAAATGCTAACAAAAGGAGAGTTAAATAAAGGAGAAAGCAAAGCTGGTTGAATCAAAGAAGATTTTATACAGACTCCGAGCTAATTTTTGAAGACAGTATAATTTCAACTATAGAAAACTGGAGGAGAAGCTATGCCAGGATTTGTATAAACAAGAGTGGGGAAAAGCAGGAATATGCTGGAGGAAGGATACATAGGAAGTGAAATTAGAGTGATACAAGAACATGGTGGTCCTTAAAGTGTCAGGTTAAAGCATTTATGTCACATAATCCAAAAGGCAGGAAAAAGCCTTTGGAGGTTCTAGGCTAGAATTTCTAGTATAATGTTGGCTAGAAATGAATAGAGCGGGCATCCTTGTCTTCTTCATGATCTTAAGGGAAAGTATTCAGTCTTTTACCATTAAGTATGATTTTGGCTGTAGGTTTTTCATGAATGCCCCTTATCAAGTTGTAACCAACTCTTTTTAATTAAAAAAAAGGTATATTTACTCGATGAAATACTATGCAGCTACCAAAAAGAAGGATCTCTTACCATTTGAGACAACATGGAGGGACCTGTAGAGTATTATGTTAAGTGAAATAAGCCAGAGAAAGACAAGTATCATATGATCTCACTTATATGTGGAATCTAATGAACAAAATAATCTGACAAAATAGATCAGAGACATGGAAGCATACAACAGATTATGGAATCTCAAAGGGAAGGAGGGAGGGAAGAGATCAACAAAAAACTTACATGCATATATGTATAAACCATGGACATGGACATTAGTGGGGTGAAGGCCTGGGGAGGGGAGAGAAAAGGGGAGGAGGGGACTCATGGGGGAAAAAAGTGGGACAACTGTAATATTTTCAACAATATACATTTTTTAAAATTTAAAAATACATGAAAAAGGGGATAAAATATTCAAAGAAACAAAAATAGAAAGAGGAATGATGAACAGAACAATTATCTTAGAGTCAGGATGGGGGGTCAAAACAAGGTACCAGACACAGATGACAGGATAGTTTAGAAGCTGGAGCTGAGACTATCAAGCTGAAAATTAAATAAATAACTATTATTTATTTTTCCCTAAGAGTGCTCTTTATCAAACTGCTGGGCAGCATGAGAAAATGAAATGTCATGCTATTACCATCTGACATCCTTTCTCAATTGTAGACGTGTCTCCCAGTAACACTGCAACACAGTTAAATAAGCCAGTAATGCTGTGCCCCAGTAATGCTGCAACATGGTTAAATAAGCCAAAGTGAACTAAATTAATGTTCCTAAGCTTTACACCAAAGGCCCATTAATCTGTTTCACAGTAAGGATTAGATGTATTAAGTGCACGAAAATGCTATATTTAAAGCTGAAATTATAATAAATACTCAGTGAAACATAATCTCCAAATGAAAAATCAGCAGGTGGTTCATGCTCACCAGGAAAAAGTGGCAACTCAAAGTAACATCAAACATAAAGCAGAAATGTTAAATATAAAACCAGATCTTATCCCCAAGTGGGGGGGAGGCATCTTCTTTTCCAAAACAACCAAATTAAGGATCAGTAAAGAAGAAATGTCCAACTATAACATCTCACAAAACACTTTAAAACAGGCATCTTTAATAAAAAGGTAATCTATTAAATATCATAAAAATAAGAAAGAAGTGAATAATGTGATACAAAACACGCAAGGCAGAATCAACAGGATTGGACTACTAATTAAATATAAAGGGAAAAGAAGAGTTAAATGACTGAAACACCTACAAGAATAGTGTTATCACTAATTTAGAAAGGGGAGTGGAAAGCAGGAGCTGGCTTCAGGACACATGGTTTGATTTTAGACACAAGTTTGCTTATTCTGCTGTCAAATTATGGAGATAGGCATGCCCAGCAAGAATCCTTGAGTCTGGGCTGCGGTGCTGGAAAGAGGTCAGGACAGGGTATGGCCATGTAGTCATTAACCACAGAGAGGAGGCAAGCAGCCAAGGCTATTGCAGTAGATGTGATTGCCCACAGTACTGTGTGCAAAGGAAAGATGGTGGGTGGAAGATCTTTACAGAACAGCTACAATTCAGGTGGGAGAGGAAGAAGAAGTAATCAAAGAGGCAAAACAATAAAATAGGTGGGAATGGATACAGGTACACATTTGCTGGACAGAAATCTATCATATTATCAAGACATAAAAAATGTTCTTTCTTCAGCCAATGTATACTAAAATCAAATGATATAGAGAAGATTGGCCTGGCCCCTGCATGAGAATGACATACAAATTTGTGAAGTGCTCCACATTTTTTTTCTGGAATTAGATAGCAGTAATAGTGGCACGACCTTGTGTCCATACTAAAAACCACTGAATTACGTATTTGAAAGTATTCAATTTTATGTTATATGAATTATAGCTGTTTTAGAAAGGTTCCTACCCTTTGATCCAGTTTTTCTACTCCTAGGAATCTATCCTAAGAGAGCAATTAGAGATGCACACATTGATTTATGTACATGAAGTGTCATCCACTGCAGGGCTACTTAAAATGGTAAAATTAAGAAAATCCTAACCATCCAACATTTAGGAAGAATTAGGTGAAGAATTATACATCTACATAAGACAATAATAGTCTGCTATTAAAAACCATGCTTTTGAAGCTACTTAATGATCTCAGAAAAGGCTCATGATATAATCATAAGTGAAAGAAAAACCTGTACATACTACCAGCCCAATATTTTTTTTAAAAAATGTATACACACACACACACACACACACACACACACACACACACACACACATATATATATATATATATATATATATATATATATATATATATATATATATATCTTATATAATAAAAGCCTAGGTGGTATCATACTCTGGCATCATGTCCTTGTGCAATGTTGTCACAATATGGCCACCACAAGATGACCATGCAAACAGCAGAGGCGGGGCCCATTGGCCGCTCCATGTGGTGAGGCCTGGGGGTCCCACAGCTCTGGGAGGCAAGTACAGTGAAAGAGGCGCGTTGCAGAAGTGGAGGGCAGTTGTGGGTGATCAGGTCAGTAGGGGAGCAGTTAGGCATCAATCAGGCTGGTAGGAGAGCAGTTAGGGGGCAATGAAGCAGGCAGGCAGGCGAGTAGTTAGGAGCCAGTGGTCATGGATTGTGAAAGAGATGTCCAACCACCAATTTAGGCCCAATCCCGCAAGGGTCCCCGATTGGAGAGAGTGCAGGCTTACACTTATTTAAAATTTTGAAATTTTCTATACTACACATGCATTACTTTTAAAAAGTATATATTTTTATTGATTTCAGAGAGGAAGGGAGAGGGAGAGAGATATGGAAACATCAATGATGAGAGAGAATCATTGACTGACTGCCTCCTGCACACCCACTACTTGGAATTGAGCCTGCAACCTGGACATGTGCTCTGACTGGGAATCGAACCATGATCTCCTGGTTCATAGGTTGACACTCAACCACTGAGCCACACTGTTCAGGCCTTATGTATTACTCATGGAATACATGGAATGAGAAAAGGTTTCCAAAGAAAAAGAACACTGTTCTATATGCACATATCATGTATCCTGGCAACTGTTTGTTAGAATTATCTGACATATTCCTCGGTTAGGAATCTGCAAATATACTTGTACTTTGACTTAACTATTTCAAACATGTGGATTTTAACCTTGAGGAAATCAGCTTAGATCCCACCAACTTAGCAAAATGCTTTCCCCAACAAATGCTTTCTGCTTAGCAGTGGCTTCCTCTGTTTGTTTTTACTAATTTTTTTAAAAACTCGATCTGACACTCTTTACCTCAATATTAGCAATGGGAGCTGTTCTTTGCTGTGTGAGGCTGCAGGGCTGGAAAAACAAGGAGCAAGTTTGGGGGAGACAGGCAGAGGAAAAGGGAGGTCAAATCAAAGTCAGCATCAAGGCTGTGCCTATTGAATTGAAAAAAAATTTTTTTTCTTTTCTTATTTTCCTTTTGCTACTCAGGGCCTTCTTGGCTTTAGTTTCTTTCTGGGTGCCTGATGGGCTTGGTGGGGACAAAGTTGGGTGGAGAGGGTACAAAACACTGGAAAATCTGATGGGTGGGGGTAGCAGCAGGTACCAATTATGAGGCCATTTAACTGTTAATATTTGTATACCCTGTTTACACTTCACAAAGAACGTCCACAGACATCATTCCATTTAGTCCCTACTTCAACTTTATAAACTGGACTTTACAAAAGAAGAAACTCAGGTCAGAGAAGTGAAGTAAATCACATAAGGCTTGAACCAAATTTATTTGCTTCTAAATTTTTGTGAATCAGAAATTCTGGGATGGGGGGGTAGTAATCTGAATTTTAACAAGTCCTCTCCAAATGATGTTGATGCATGCTCAAGTGTGAGACCCAGCCCTCTAAATGCTGCCATACATCTAAAAGATTTTCAAATGGTTTCTTTAAACTACTGACTGCTGCTTTGATTTATGTGGGGTCTTGTCTTCCAAGGCAGGCTGGGAGCCTCCCTCCAACTGTCAATGGCTTTGTACATAATAGAGAGAAACTGCTCGAATAGAATTTGGACTCCAGGGGCAGGAACATATAATACTACTTCATAGTGGGAAGGTCCCAGAACAAAGAGGGAAATTCTCAGGTCACAGCCTCCCTGGTTGTGGGAATATATGAGCTGGCAAGCAGCTGCCCTATAGCTACTTCCCTTTCAGAGGTTCTTTTCAGACATTTTCACAGAGTTCCACAATACTCTGCGTGAGCCCCTGAGAAATTTCCTGCTCTGATATATTTATATTTACAACCTCTCGTTCATAAAGCTTTTCACTTCTTTGGTTTTCAATTAGGTTTTTAAAAACTGTTTTTGAAACAATTTAGAAAAAAATTGCAGAATTGAAATTAAATTATTCTCCTTTTGGGGAACATGGACTGCTCTTCTCCCATCTTCACACACACACACACACACACACACACACTCAATTATACACAGATACACATTCTTTCCCCTTGTGATAGAGAACAAACCAATCATCTATTTTTTTGAAACTTGGACTTGACTCAAATTGGATTTTAAATTTTAGCAAGGTGATGTTTGTAAAATTGAAACAAAAACTATACATGGGTATAGATTTAATTTTAAAATACTAAAGCTGAAAGACAGAATCGTGGAATGAAAATTATGAAATATTTAAAATTCTAAGAGTGAATTGAATTTGTTATCTATCCCTTCCACACAGGTACTAGCACTGACTTTATTCATTTATTTAGTCATTGAATGATTGACTCATTTATTAGTCATTGAAAGCCAAGCAAACACTGTTCAAGGTGCTGGGGCAAAGCAATGAACAAAACTGACAAGACCTCAGTTCTCATAGGTCTCAGTTCAATAAACATATGTCAGATAGTAATAAATGCTATGAAGACAGGGAAAGGAGGGCAAAGGATAGACTGACTGACAAGAGGTGCATGGAGCCAATGCTATTTTAGAGAATGAGGTTAGGGAAGGCCTCTGGTAGCAGCAACCGAATGAACACAGGAAAAGAGCCAGGTGAATTTTGAAGGGAAAATATTCTAGGCAAAAGCATCAGCAAGGGTAATGGTCTGAAATAAAATCATCTGGCTATGGTCTAAGAACAGCATGAAAGCCAGTGTGCCCAGAATGAATTAAGCAAGACTTAAGAAGGATAGGAAATCAAGTTGGGGAGAAGCCAGGAGCTAGGTGAGTGCGTTATAAGGACTCTGGATTTAATTTTAAGAGTGATGGGAATAAAACCTGTGTCTAGTAGATGCCAAGGAGTTTAATATGCCTGCACTATGATTATTGCCCTCAAGAAACTTACGATCTTCCGATTTGGGGAAATAAACCAAATTTACAGGAGACTTGCAAAGGGGAGGGGATTCTTGTTGTCCCAGGTATACTTGTTCCCAATCTTAATAAGCCACTTTTAGTAGAAAAGAGTCCCAAAGGAGAAAAAGGTTTGCCTCCTATGCCAATTTGAGAAGATTCTCCCACTCACATTAAGCAATTTTATCTCAAAACCAGTGTTTTCTATATGTTACAAATATTAAAATATTTTAAAATATATTTTTATTGATTTCAGAGAGAAAAGTAGAGGGAGAGAGATAGAAACATCAATGTTGAGAGAGAATCATTGATTGGCTGTCTTCTGCACACCCCCACACTAGGGATCAAGCCCACAGGCAGGTGCCCTGATCGGGAATCGAACCGTGACCTCTTGGTTCAGAGGTTGATGCTCATCCGCTGAGCCATGCCGGCTGGGACAAATAATAAAATATTTATACTCCCTAACAACCCTATGAGGCAAGTGCTACCATTATCATCCCATTTTGAAGAGGAGAAAATTAGAGGCTTGGAAAGGTTGAGTAACTTGTCCAGGATCACAGAACTAAAAAGTCTTAGAAAAGGTATTAGATCTTAGGCAGCCTGTGTTCTTAACCATTATTCTAACTGGCCTTGCCTAAAGGTAGAGATAGAAGGATGGGGGCGAGAAGATGATGAATCTAAAATTGAAAATAAAAGGGGAAGTTTCCCAGATGTTCTAGGTAAGCAAGAAGAGTGCTGAGGGTCCATGGTAGACCTGAGGGGGGGGGGGAAGGGGGAAACCAGAACTAGCCATGGCTAAGAGCTAGAGAAGCAGGCTGAGGGTTACTGCATCCACATTGGGGTCCATACGGAGTATGAATACCCAGGATTCATGCAGGAGTGCTTTGATAATGGAGATATTTTCCGTGGTATACTGAGAGACCATGGAAAAGAATGCATAATTTCTTATAGCTTGCAGCCAGAGAAATCTACATAAAGGACATTATGCTTAAAGTCTGGTCTTTAAGGAAGGATAGGAATTGATCCAGATCAAAGGTATTTCTGTAGAAGGAATAGCGTGTTAAAATTATGGAAATGTGAGGAAAAATTGATATCTGGAGGGTAGAATATATGAAAAGGGGGTGGTGGGAAGTAAGGATAAAGAGGCAGGCTGGGCTAGAATGTGAAAGATCTAGGTTCTTAATGAGTTTGAACTTTTCCCACAGGTACTGGAGAGCCAGGGATGTACTTTAAGCAATAGTGGCAGAACCAGATTTGCATTGTGTAAAGATGTATACTAGTAGTTAGAATTGTTTAGGGAGAAAATAAGCAAGTGGAACCATTTAGGAAATAAATGTTATAATCCAAGTGATCTATAATTCAGGGATAGATAAGGGGACAGATTTAAGAATTATCTTGTCTAGAAGGTAGAACCAACAAATCTTGATGCCTGATTAGACAGATGTGAGGGGTAAAAAAAAGAG